ATATTTACATACGCTCTATCTCTGATTTTGAGCACTTCATCCGATAAATATACCACATCTTAAAACTATATTTCTTCATTCATATATATATATATATATATATATATATATATATATATATATATGTGTGTGTGTGTGTGTGTGTGTGTGTGTGTGTGTGTGTGTTGCTTCCGGTTATTTTTCTAGAGCAAAATTGTACGGTTGTTAGATCAAACACTGACTCACAGTTCTCTTGATGGTTCGTGAATGGACCTTGAAGATGGAAGGCAGAGTATGACTGTTGGTATGATTACTGAAGCCTTTATGATTTTTTTCCTCTCACAATTGCTCAAGCGGAGAACAGGGTTGATAAAAAACGATTTTGACCTGTTCTATTCTAGCGGAATACCTCAAAGAATGTTTCTGTGATTCATACGACAAATGATGTACGAACGGTTTAACGTCTTTTCTGAAGACCTGGATGAATTTCTTGTTTTTTTTGTATTTAATAGATTTTGAGGTGTGGACAATTATCTTCTACAGTTACATGATTTGGAAAACTTTGCAGTCACAGAATGTATTTAAATACACACACACAGAGACGTGTATATATATATATATATATATATATATATATATATATATATATATATATATATATATATATATTGAATAAAAGACAGACCACGTTAAGATTTCAGTAATAAGCTATTTCACGATAACCCATTTAACAGGGTTCTGGATCATCAGACTTTGAGGCTTTGTATACATAAGACATTTCTCTTAAGCACGTATGAATCTGGATAAAAATATGAATTTCAATTATCCCTGCACCGATTCTTTTATAATATCATTTCTTTTCTACTTCCATCACATCCTCCTTCCTTTCTATTACACCCAACGCCCTGTTTGTTTATTTATTTTCTAAAAAAAAAGTAACATAGCTTTCATAAGTTCTTTTTAAAAAGTTAAAGCGTTTAAATTTCATTTGATAAAAAATCGCCAAGGTAACGTATTCAAAGGATCTCCCCAATTTTTTTTTTAAATGAAAGGATCTACATGATTTTTTTTGGTCTTTTTTTTTTTTTTTTTTACTTTTATTTTATTAACATGTCTATTGAAGACTTTTTAAAACCTCAGGTATCCTGGTCCGATTCAAATGTGAGCATTAACCTTTTATGTATTATTATATCTATCTATCTATCTATCTATCTATCTATCTATATATATATATATATATATATATATATATATATCTATCTATCTATCTATATATATATATATATATATATATATATATATATATATATATATATATAGCTATTTTGATATAAAATATATCAATATTTCTATATATATCGATATATATATATTGACATATATATATATATATATATATATACATACATATATATATATATATGTGTGTGTGTGTTTTTCGATCTGCATATCTATCTATATATCTATTTCGATAAATATCGATTTGGATGTCTATCTATCTATCACAATATCTATCTATCTATCTATCTATCTATCTATCTATCTATCTATCTATATATATATATATATATAGATAGATATTGTGATAGATATATATTGCACATTTATTGTAATTTAAATAAATGATCCATGTGCGACTTTTGGATAATAAGTGCGACATTACTGTAATTATTGAACAATATAGTTCATGCCACTTTGACAGTAAAATTTACCAGTAAAATAATTTGTTCATCACCATATTTGGTATAAACGCAAACACTTTAAAAAATTTAAAATCAAACTCAGCGTTGCTTTGGCGCGTTCAAAAAACCAATAACTCATTTTCAATAGCATTTCGGATACAATACACATATATTTTCGATGTCCTCTTATTACTAAGAGAAAAAAACAAGAACAACATCTATTATATACCTGAAGATGTCTGTAGGAACAGACGAAAGCTTGTAGTAAAAATAACAATTAATACGGCAGAAATTTATATAAAGAAGGATCAATTCATTCATAACGGATCTGGAGGTTTTTGTGTACTATTTGAATTGTTTGCGAGATGGATGTCTCGCCATTTAAATCATTAACCTTTGCATTAGTTTTGTGTGAATAATTCATGTATTTGTAAATTGATTGCACGTTTATTGTAATATATATATATATATATATATATATATATATATATATATATATATATATTCATACATACATATATGCATGTGTGAGGGCGGGCGTTCGTTCCTTCGTTCCTCTGCGTGTGTTTGTTTGATAGTGGGTTCCCAATATTGTGCTAAATGTGAAGGAGTAAAGTCTGTGATAAGTTTAATTTGCAATTGAAAGATAGAAGAAATGGTAATGGGTGATACTGAAGAAGAAAATTCTATTACTTGTTTCCTTCTTTTTTGTACTTTCATTCCAGTTACTTAAAATGAGACAGTCCGGCAGGGTCAAGGATGCGATATAAAAAAAATAAACAGACAAAGCTTGAGTGAGGAATATAGGTATTAGTGAATGGATAATCTTAGTTGTCAATACCCATGAAATTTCCTTGTGTGTAGGTGGTTATTATTTTCAATTATAGTTTTTGCAGCTCAGGCAAATATATGATTCTGGTAGATATTCTTATCTTAAACCTCATACAGTTCGATCTTTTGGACTGTCTAGCCGGGAACAAAGTAAGAATATTTAAAACCTGTAACAAAGACTGACATAAAATGGTGAAGGTTGCTTCAAAGACAGAAAGAAACATAAATATTAGCCACTGCACTCTGTTATTTGTGGCACCTCACAGAGAGTGGCGTGTCCGGGACGGTGGCCAATAAAACTTGATCGAGTTTGTAGGAAATAAATTATTTGAGAAGTCCATTGAGATATCTCCTTACCGTTCACTCTCCGATCTACATCTCTGTCTTAGACTCTCGTTTTGGTTTTACTGTTTTTTTTTTGGTTTTTTTTTTTAAACTCTTTTCACCAGAGTTTCACTGTATCCCCATGTCTGTGTCTATCTTGAATTTTTTTCTTCGTAACCTAATAATCCAAGCAGAAAATTGATTTCTTTCCATCTTTGTTTTATTTTATGTTTCTGTACTTTCTTAAGTTACACTCCTTCTTGTCTTCCGTAATTATTTTTTTTTCGTTCCTCCTCAACGTCATTCAGTTTTTATTCTTTTCGGTTTATTTGTTTTATGCTTCTTTTTTTTTTTTATAATTTCCTGTTTATTTTCGTTGGCTTTCTTTATCATTTCCGTTAAATTATTCGTTCGTTATTTCTTCCTTACTAAATTTAGTTTTTCTTCCTTTTTCCAATCATTTTTCGAAGACAAATCTGACGGTTTTTCAATCATTCGTTCTTTTTTGTTTTACTTGGATTTTCTTTTTAGGTTGATTTATTTCTCTTTTAAATCAGATTTTCTTTTCCTTCCATTGCTATTCTATTATGTCTTGAAATGTTCTTCGTCTTTACTTTCTTTCTTTTTTTATTATTTTTATCTTTCTTTTTTCTTCCTTCCTTTCTTTCTTTCTTTTTTCTTTCTTGTAGTATGGTTGCTTTCTTTCTTCTTTCTACCTCTCTTTCTTTCCCTCTTTCTTTTCTTGTTTTCACTCGATTTGCTTTATTTTTTCCATTATACTTCATTTTTTTTAAATTGTGACTCGTGTTTTTTTTTAATATTTTTATTCCGTCTTTTATTCAAAAGGTATTTCTTTCTTTCTAGAATTATAGTCCTTTCTTTTTTCTTTTCTTTTTTTTTAAATCGGACCCGTTTTTCTTCTTTCTTTCTTGCTCACAAACGATTTAACATACTTTTCGCTTTCTTTCTTTTTTTAATTATGTTTTATTTCTATTGATATTTTTATTCTCTCTTTCTTTCGCTAGGTAATGCTTTCTTTCTAAAATTATGACTCTCTTTTTTTTACTCAGTCCCCTTTCCTTCTTCATTTCCTTCTTTCTCTCTTGCTTTGAGTGGATTGGCCTTAGTTTTTCCTTTCTTTCTTTTAAATTATATCGTATGTTTATTCTGTCTTTCTTTCAACAGGTAACCCTTTACTCTCTACAATCATATTTCAGTCCTTTTTTTACTCGGTCGCCTTTTGTGTCTTTCCTTCTTTCTTTCCTTTTTGTTCCTTTCTATTTAACTACTTCATTTTTTTCTGCATTTATTTCACTGATGGAGACGAAAAATGCGTGTTAACGTCAACGCTTCGTCTTTACTTTCTTTCTTTTTTTATTTATTTTTATCTTTCTTTCTTTTTTCTTCCTTCCTTTCTTTCTTTCTTTTTTCTTTCTTGTAGTATGGTTGCTTTCTTTCTTTCTTTTTTCTTTCTTGTAGTATGGTTGCTTTTTTCTTTCTTTTTTCTTTCTTGTAGCATGGTTGCTTTCTGTCTTTCTTTTTCCTTTCTTGTAGTATGGTTGCTTTCTTTCTTTTTCTTTCTTGTAGTATGGTTGTTTCTTTTTTTCTTTTAGTATAGTTGCTTTCTTTCTTTCTTACTTTTTCCATTCTTGTAATATGGTTGCTTTCTTACTGCTTTTCCTTTCATTATTCCATGTTTTTCTTTTCTTTCTTCCTGCCTTTCTTTATTCCTCATGCTATGACCGCATTCTTTCTTTATTCACTTATCCCATGATCACTTTTGTATTTACATTATTTGATCTCTCTCTCTCTCACACACACACACACACACACACACACACACATGATTCTTCCTTACATTCTTCGTTTTTCGTTTACTCTAAACTGATCTCAGTTTAATGTATCTCTTCTTGGTTTCATTATATTTTCTTGCTTTCTAAACTGAGTTATTTCATTCTTGCTTATGTCTTATCCCGTCTTCTTCTCTATTGTTTCTTGCCTGTTCTAACGAGGACAATTCCAGAGAGTGTCGACTTAATTATAGCGCTGGTTCTCTTGATAATACAATTTCGTATAATACAAAGTATTGCCTACAAATAGGATGCGGCTCATATACTTATTGTTCTATCAATGTCGAGAGTGAAAAAATACGACGGGTCTTTGGTGGAAAGCAAAAAAAAACTTATGGGAGCAAAGAGGTTGAAATCTACCCAAATCGACGCCAGTCTTCCTGTCAATTCCTCCACCGATCAGCTCATCTATTTAGTTTCGGAGAGCTGTAAATGTAGACTACAAATTCTTTCTTTTATCTACATTACGGTCTGAGTTATATTTCTTCATCCATGTTAAGATGTTAGCATCTATGTAAGTATACATTCAAGCATCAGATTTTCCGTATGGGCCTGTAACTATTTCAGACTGTTTCACTACACATATACACACAAAGAAACAAACACACAGACATACACACACACAAAGAAACAAACACACAAACACACACACACACAGACACACACACACACACACACACATATATATATATATATATATATTCCTCATTTTCCTTCTATTTGTCTACATATCTGCCTATTTCACTCTCTCTCTATCGATCTATATATATATATACACACATACATACATATACATATATATATATATATATATATATATATATATATATATATATATAAAAAACCTGTAACCTTTAGTTAAAAATAAAAATTAACCTTTAAGAACAAAATTAAATAGGACAAATGTTGTTTACGAATTTAAATGAATGCCCATTAAGGAATTTTATTGCTGATCAATAAAAATTCGTAAATAATGATATAAGCCAAACTACCACATGTTTGACACGAAGAATCACTCTATACTTTTCTGTCCATAGCTCAATTAGATCTCAGTTAAACATTCATGGAGACCAACAGGACTATTTGTAACATACTTGTCGAAAAAGCAAATATAATAGCATCATCTAAACGCAAAAAAATGCTAAAAATAAGGGAAGCATTAGTAAAAAAAATCGCTTAATAATATCAACTATGAAAATGGACACACTATCTTGACTGTATTTTGAAAATTAAAACATTATATAAATGCATATATGCCACAAACTATTTCTTATTTAACAATTAAAATATTTCAACCGTGAAAATGGCTAAATGTATAGTCGAAAGTGCTCGAAAAAAAGATCATTTAAACAGTTTTTATATAATTTTTCATTTGAAAAATTATTAATACATCACATGATAAATTGTATAAAAAAACTAAATCAAAGCACGTTGTCTGTTGTATTACATAAAATGTGCATTAAAAGGATTGCTGCCTAATTACAACAAATGTATATATATATATATATATATATATATATATATATATGCCTCATTATTTATTTATTTCTATCTAACTGCATTATACCTATCAATCTATCTATCTACATATCAGCCTCTTTTTGGATTTCGCTTTCATTCATCTGTCTACCTCTTTTTCTATCTATCTATCTATCTGAATCAAAACCTCTTTATTTATATATTCTATCTAATTACTTAACTTCTATCAATCTATCTATCTACATATCAGCCTCTTTTTGGATTTCACTTTCATTCATCTGTCTACCTCTTTTTCTATCTATCTATCTATCTGAATCAAAACCTCTTTATTTATATATTCTATCTAATTACTTAACTTCTATCAATCTATCTATCTACATATCAGCCTCTTTTTTGGATTCGCTTTCATTCATCTGTCTACCTCTTTTTCTATCTATCTATCTATCTGAATCAAAACCTCTTTATTTATATATTCTATCTAATTACTTAACTTCTATCAATCTATCTATCTACATATCAGCCTCTTTTTGGATTTCGCTTTCATTCATCTGTCTACCTCTTTTTCTATCTATCTATCTATCTGAATCAAAACCTCTTTATTTATATATTCTATCTAATTACTTAACTTCTATCAATCTATCTATCTACATATCAGCCTATTCCTTTGTCTTTCTTTCTAATTAATCTCTATCTGTCTAAATACATTTCTTTCTTTTTTTCGAAAAAAGGAGATAAGGCTTCGGGGGCTTGATCCGGATCAACCAATCGAATATGACCTACGTTCAATTTAAACTAAGCGAAAAATAAAAACATAAAAGATTCTGAGAAATGCGTCATGAAAAAAGAGGATGTATTTTGCTCTTGAAACCAAATTAATCGTTCGCTCACCAGTAAACGATCACCTGTCGTGACGCATTGGTATGCGTCCATACATTACTGCAATTGTGTAGCGATTTTATATGTTGTTTTAATATCTTAAATTAAATAATATAGGTCAACCCCATATTGTGCCCTCTTTTAAATTAAATGTATGAACGTGCTCTATACACGTAGAGATAAAAGAAAAATAAGACAAAATTAGCATTTAGAGCTTTTGATTTAAGATAATGCGCTGCCTTGTAATAGGATTTCGCGTACTGGGTCTGTTCAGACCTTGATTGATCGGCAAAGCTTCTTTGTGGATGAATCTCTTAAGACAGGTCGGATCTAAGAACCACATTTTTTTCTGCCTACACTGATGCAGTTTTGTTTCCTGACGAACAGCGCATATTTTTCTTTGATAACACTCTTCGAATATTTATGCCGGTCGTCGAAAATAAATAAATATACTGTTTAATAAATAAACGTAGCGTCTACACATATATGAATATATCCACTAAGAATAACGTTTAAGGCGCTAAAAATCGGTAGGATCAATAAATAAAAAAATCCGTTATTTTTTTAGCAAACACACACACATACATGCATATATATATATATATATATATATATATATATATATATATATATATATATATATTTCTATCTAGTCTGCTATATTTATGGGGTAAGAATACTCTATGTAAAAGATGTTGCCTTAGATATAAACCATAGTTTTATGATCGCTTAACGCGCGAAACTAAGTTACCGTGCAGTGTTTATTTCTGTTTGAACAGTATATCTCTCTTTCTATCTCCCTATCTCTCTCTCTATTTATATATATATATATATATATATATATATATATATATATGTGTGTGTGTGTGTGTGTGTGTGTGTGTGTGTGTGTGTGTGTGTGTGTGTGTGTGTGTGTGTGTGTGTGTGTGTGTGTGTGTGTGTGTGTGTGCTAATATAAGCTTCATTATACCTACGTTTTCACACAAACTTTCTCATTTTCCTTTCTTTTTAGTAACGGTTAATCGATTTCTTTTATAATCAATCAGTTATTGATTTTCTCAAGTTCTTTTCTTGCCCGTTAGGTAAACATAGATAACTCCAAATCATAATGCTTCAATGGTGTAGACACCACAAACAATAATGTACGGTTGTTATATATTCAGTATAGACGAAATCAGGCACAAACCCATGAAATTTCAACAATTTTTGAGAAGAAAATAAAGTAAAAAACAAACACACATACACAAATGAGGCAATAGAAAACAGTATTACGATCTCATCTGGATCTAAATGTTTTTGCCGCGTTCAATTTGGGATCATGTTTATTTTTTCATTTATGTATTTGTAGGCCGTCTTTGCTTATCCATCTACAGACAATACAAGTTGATGAAACTTCTGAATCGAACCTCTCTCTCTCTCTCTCTCTCTCTCTATATATATATATATATATATATATATATATATATATATATATATATATAAAAAAAAAATAAGTAGGTGGATTTGATAAACATATAAATAAATTCATTGTGTCTGATATAAACCTCAACAGGAAAATAGATATATATATATATATATATATATATATATATATATATATATATATATATATATATATATATATATATATATATATATATATATATATATATATATATATATATATATATATATATATATATATATATATATATATATATATATATATATGGCTCAATCAGTAAAAGCACATCAGGCTCTATGAGGGTCCCGTATGGGACAGAGGGTCGATTCCAGTCGGAGGACGCATATTTTCTATGAAAATTTCACGGACATTCAGGCCGGTAAAGGTCGTTAATGCTGTTTATTATAAACACAGCATTTATTAAATATTTGTATCTATAAAACGTATATACATAGAAAATATCTTTAAATAACTGTCGGACATTTCATAATATATATATATATATATATATATATATATATATATAGTTTATGAAAAACTAGGTAATCCGTATGGGTAAACCTAAGGAGGATAAAACCCAGAAAGCTCAAAGTAAATCCAGAGCAAATAATTTAAATAAAAACGGACCACTTTAAGGTTCCATGTAATAAATTATTTCACCACAGCCCTTTTAAAAGGACTGCGGATCATCAGGCTTTACTTCCCAACAAAAAAGTATATATATATATATATGTATATATAAATAAAATTTTTATTTAAAAATACGATTCAACACGCTACATAAGAGTTCTCATGTTTCAAAACAAGAGCCGAAAACTTCAATATAATTATTAAAATTAAATTGAATTAAATTACTAAGCTCTGTTCCATCTTCAACCGAAATTTTTTTGGAATAACTTATTTCTGAAAATTACATGTTTTATATATATATATATATATATATATATATATATATATATATAAATATATATATATATATATATATATGTATGTATGTATTTGAATTGATGCGAGTGTGTGACCCTTGGTTTCACGCTTTTGTGATCGTCAGATAATTCTCTTGAATATAGCGATGTAGTTTTGACATCGCTACATTCAAGAGAATTATTGTCTACACATCCCACCATTGAAATTCCGCAATCATATGTTTACGTTTGTACACAACAGCAGACATATACATATATATGTCAAGTCTCATGCTGTTCACATATGTTTCGGTTTGGGCGAGCGCATGTGTATGTGTGTCTGCGTACCTCAATGGGTGTACGGGCGAACATACCATAATCGTTATGTTCTCATTCACATAAATACTATAGTAGATACTGTATGTTGATCTACAGTTAGAGATTCGTCTCTAGCTGTGCTGGTCAAACACTCTGCCTCCGGGCAGAGAGGATCCCCAAACGAGGCTAGGTCGAAAGACAAGGTTTCATCTCGGGAAACAGCTACCCGACCCCGTTTTATGCGGGGTCTATAGGAAATTTTTGGCCGAGCCTACGGGCTTGGATACCCCACATTAAATTCGGCCTTGTACCACATATGACCGCGTCGGGCGGTTAATGTATATCCTGCAGTAGATTCATTGTGGAATTCACTTGACTCACTCCTAACAGTTGACTACTTCTACGCGCATCAAGCGAATCTTATAGGTGTTGTTCATGTGTTAATTATAATAGTTCATTACCAACCTTCGCGTGAAATATTCTATTCAGTAACCTTCCCTAGGTTACAATATTGTGGTGACCAGGATGAGATTAAGTTTTGTAACCTAGGGAAAGTTACTGAATAGAATAATCAAACGAAGTTTCATAATGAACGATAATACTTATGACACTACGAACACTTATAAGATTCGCCAGCGGCGCGTAGATGTAATCAACTGCTAGAAGTGAGTCAAGTGAATTCCACAATGTATCTCCAACTGCAGACCAACATAGACTGTTTACTACTGTATTTAACGGAATGGGGACATACTCTTTATCGCCCGTAGGTATGCTACAAAATATATACGCATTGTTGTATCAGAAAAACAAAAGACAGGAATATGTTAAAAGTCATAATTTTTGTAATTATGATATTATTCAACAAATACAAGATATAGAGTCATTCAATGTAGTTAAGTTAGTTACTGAATGAAGTTGGTGCAACTGCATAATGGAATGGGCGAGGTCTGCGTTTATGTGCATGTAAAGGATAGATTACTTGTTGAGGATAAGTTGGTAGTAGTTGGGCTAATATCTCCTCGAATGTCTCTTCAACAACGTTACAATTTTGGGGAAGAATTATCTGAGTGGAAATTCCTCCTTATAAAAGGAACGTGAAGGGTTGGAGATGAGTGGATGTCGAATACGTTACGTGAAGTTACGAAATGAAAGAACAAAAGGAATGCAACTCGTATAAAAACGTGGCATGGAACTAACAACAATAGTGCGATGGTCGTACAACGTTTCATCAATTATAAAGTGGTTTTACGTAGGAAACATCCGTGTGTTCGTTTTTGAATTCTGCCAAATCTGAACAGTGAAGTTTTGCCAACGCATACCAAGGCATGACCGCTATACTATTTTGACTAATCTTACTCTTTTTAAGGCAGGGCATGGCAGCATTAGTACAATATTGGTATTAGTTGTGACACTATTTTAAAATTTTGTTACACGATACATTTTTACACATTAAACCATTAAAGCCCACCGTAAAATCCGATATTAACTTAAAAAAATACATCATTGTTTTTTTTTAATCATTTCACCCCCAGGAAGACATCAAAGCCCCTAATACTTAAGATGCTACAGAGCGTGAAAGAATAAGAAAAAGAGAAACATTATTAATTAGGAGCTAAAACAATGAAAGAAGTGGAATCAAGAAACAGTAGATGACGCTTGATGTGGCATTTAAATGTCTGAAGATCAAAGTTGCCTTGGAGCTAAAAATCCAGAACAGAGTTCCACGACCGAGAAATACGAAAGAAGAAAGTTAACTTACGGTGGCATGTATTAAATTCAAATGCAAATTAATAAGTTGTTAAGAATCTAGTACTGCGCTATAGAAAAGCTTATCAAGACAATTACCTTGAACGTATTTATAGAAAAGGCACATGGAATCTAATTAGGGCCTTAGGAAAGTGACTGAAGAATGAGATACTAGGTCAGGACCAATAACGTTGCGGATTTTTCTTTGAATTAAGTCAAAAATCTCTAAATATATAGCAGAAGCACCATATCATGTTACAGCAGTATTTAAAGCATGACAAAATGGTATGCTTATAAACATGTAAGAGTGATGCTGAACGGAAATAAATGTTTAACACAACAGAATGAATTAAATTTCTTAACAGCAGAGCTAGCACATTGATTCAATATAATCT